TTCATGAGCAGAGAAATCCAGGAGAGAACTTAATAAGAGACTACAGAATGCTGTTTAAGCTACAACAAAGTGTTAAGATTTTATCTTTCTAACATTTGAGAAAGAATGGTGTAAATTAATTATTTGCCACAACAGCATGAAATTATAGCTTTCTGTAGCATACAATCTTAAATTATGCTACAAGGCCAGACCATTTTATTGTGTGGTTGATATCCTGTTGGAAAAAATCCAAACAATATTTCTCTTCTTTGCTCAGCAAAACCATTATGTTGATTGAATCGGAGCCAATACGTACACTCACGAGCTATCTTGCCTTAACCTTATTTGTAATTTAGTTAGGAGAGAACCACATTTACAATGCTCTGGATAAGCTACAGCAAGGGCCTCATTTTAAGGCTGGTATTTTAGGGGTTGTAAGTCCACTTAAAGCTGGCTGTCTCCAAATGAAACGTTGTTCTGATTCTGAAGACAAGATAAACCTTTCCACAGAAAATTTGGTGGAGGAAAAGCAGCACTATCTTTGGTTGGGAGAAAAAAAAAATAATGGCTTTAGATATTTATTAGTATTTTCTAAAATCTCTAAACCAGAATTCCAGTAAGTACTCAGTTCGATTGTTCTGGCTGAGGCATCTGAAGGAAAACTACTAGACTGCAACATTTAGTGCTCTATTTAAAATTTATTTAACCCTTCACGCTGGGTGCAGACATGCAATCCTGAAGGACAACTCTATTTGAGTTAGCATAGGAACTAAATTGCCACTTGTCACTGTTCAAGCCAACAGAAATGCTGTCAACAATGTGTTACAGCAGAATCGAGCCACAGATTCTTTCATACTCTGTTACTATAGATGCTATCAATTACTATCTTCATATGATAGGCCATTTTATGTCACTACAAGCAAATAAACGCTAAAACAAATACAAAGTCATAAATATACACTCAGGTAACTACATCAACACACCTTACTGATGGCCACATGCTATTTCAGAAAAACTATTAGAGAAAATACTAACATGATAGTATACGGCTCAACTAAATCAGAGTCCCAAGAAACTTCTGTAAGCTAATCCAAAATTAATCATTTATATTACGGTAAAATGCTGTCCCTTCATCTAAACACTAATGAGCTTCTGGTAGCTTACACAATTGTCAAACTTCTGACTCTCATAAGACATCTCCACATGGCAAGGTCAGCTAGAGAGATTAACAACTAATCCATTAATCCACTAGTTTCATACCAATCCATCCCGGAGGTCCTTATAGAAAAAGCTGGGCACGGAGTTCTACATCCTGAAGACAATGTGCAGACTTCTTCTGTGAAGCCCACGTTCTCCTACTTAACAGAAACACAGTTTGACACTCTGCATATTTTATGGAGTCCAGACTTCTCCTAAGTGTGTATAATAAAATTAACATCAAATAAACACACAGAAGAGAATAGTGCATGAACCATTAAAATTATTTTCTGCCTTTAAAAAAAAAAAAAACAATCTGCAGTGAACCAAAAGCTTTACATACTTTACGGAAATAACCTATAAACAGCATTAAGAGAACATTCTAGTAAGTCATGGCAGTGGCCTTGGTAGGAGCTTTTATTGTCTTTCATGAGAGCTGCATTAGATGTCTTTGTTTTATTTACATATTAGAATAAATAGGAAAATAAACTGTTAAATAAATGCAGCATTAAAAATTAACAGTTTTTACTCTGTATGCCCTATGACAAATATTAGACTGCAGAAAGTCAGGTACTCTTAACAGATACTCATTAACTAATATAATGATAACCCATGTTGTATAATACATATTCATAAATGTTTGGCACTTGATTTATACATTGTTACAGAAGTAACAAGAAGAGACCCATCACGGACACTGTGGAGCCTAGGTATCTTAGTGAAATGCATCAGATCAGCTTTTGCACCCACCGTATGTGATAAACTGATAAATATATACTCATACTAGCGTTTGTCTGTTTTGTCAGCTTAAATGATGCACCTTCAAGTATTAAAATGGGCTTCCACTTGTATTTAAATCTGTAGTACACAGCAGTCCCAATTTTAGTTATTTTTAGCCACTACTATAATAAAATGATAGAATTGGCTTGAAGATTCATACATTGCTCTTTAAAGCATTTTTTTCTTTCTTTTCGTTCTGATGAAGAATAGTTTTATGTTCATGACTTTACAGCATAAACTGAAAAATTAAACTCAATTGTATAATGTCCTTTGCACTGCTTTAACAATAGGTGAATGTGAGGTACTTTGTGAAAGTCTAAATATGTGAGACTTCACACTAATTCATATCATAAATTACTGACAAACACAAACCAAATAATCTATTAACTACTGTAAGCTGTTGTGGTCTTGTTAGCATTTGGCATTATCTAGAAAGAACAGTCATAGGCATATTGTATAAACTGATTCAGTCAAAGTAAGGGTACAAGTAATATTTTAAGTATAAGCTTGACACGAGGTAGTTAGTATTTTTCACTATTTGATCTGAAGAAGTTTATTATTAAGATGAGAAGCAGAATCAATATATTAGAATACTTACATGCCAGAATGTGCCTTAGTGGGTTTTTTACCATTTAAATTTTAAAATACGTAATATATTTTTTAATATTGTGTAATTTCTAGAGGATAACAATATATTTCTTAAAGTGATACAACTGCGATAACAGGAAAAAAAAGTCTTATTTTTTTCTGCTTTCTCCTTTACACCATTAATCACAGAATTGTTGAGATTGGAAGGGACCTCTGGAAATCGTCTAGTCCAACTCCCTTGTTCAAAACAGGGCCAGCTAGAGCAAGTTGCTCTAGTTGTCTCCAGGATGTCTCCAGTCAGGTTTTGAGCATCTCCAAGGATGAAGCCTCCATAGTATCTCTGGGCAACCTGTTCCAGGGTTTGATCACTCTCACTTCAGAAATTTCTGTCTCATGTTTAAATGGAATTTCCTGTATTTTAATTTGTGCCCATTGCCTCTTCTCCTGTCACTGGGCACTACTGGGAAGGGTCTGCTCTGTCTTTATCTCTCCACCCATCAGGTATTTACAGACAATGGTAAGATCTCCCCTGAGCTTTCTCTCCTCCACGCTGAACAGTCCCAGGTCTCTCAGCTTCTCTGTGTCCGTCAGATGCTCCAATCCCTTAATCATCTTTGTGGCCCTTCACTGAGCTTGCTCCAGTATGTCCATGTCACACTTTTACTGGGGTGCCCGGGACCGGGCATAGCACTCCAGATGTGGTCTCAACCAGTGCTGAGTACAGGGAAAGGATCGCTTCCCTCAACTTGCTGGCCAACGCCGTTTCTCAAGCAGCCCAGGAAGCTGCTGGACACCTTTGCCGCATCCATCGCCTTTCTAGGTGACTGAGGTGAGGCTGACTGGCCTGTAGTTCTCCAGATCCACCTTCTCGTCCTTCTTGAAGATAGGATTGATATTTGCTTTCTTCTAGTCCTCAGGAACCTCCCCTGATCACCACGACCTCTCACAGATAATTGAGAGTACCCTTACAATGATATTTGTCACCTCCCTCAGCATTCACAGGTGCACCCTATCAGATCCCATAGACTTCTGTATGCCGTTTGTTTAGATATTCCCTAAACTGATCCTCCTCCACCAAGGTTGTCTTCCTTGCTCCAGATTTTCCTACTGGACTCTGGGACCTGTGATTGCTGAGGTCAATCAGCAGATTGCCAGAAAAAAAAAAAAAAGAAGTGAGGAAGGCATTGAGTACCTTGGCCTTTTCTGTGCCCATTGTCACCAAACCCCTGCCCCATGTGGCAGTGGGCCCACATTTGTCCTAATTTCCCTTTCGCTGATGATATACCTACAAAAGCCCTTCCCGTTGCCCTTCACATCCCTTGCTAGTTTCAACTCCAGATCGGCTTTGGCTTTCCTAATCCCATATCCCTGCACGCTTGGACAGTGTTTCTATATTCCACTAGGGTCACCTGTTCCTGCTGCCCCCTTTTGCATGCTTCCTTTTTGTATTTAATTTTAGTCAGGGGTTCCTTGTTCATCTGTGCAGGCTTTCTGCCACTCCTACTTGACTTTCTGCTCATTGGGATGGACCATCCTCGAGCTTGGAGGAAGCAATCCTTGAAAATCACCAGCTCTCCTGGACCCCTCTTCTCTCCATGACCATATTCCACAGGATTTTTCCAAGCAAGTTCCTGAACGGGACAAAATCTGCTCTCCTGAAGTTCAGTGTTGTGATCCTGCTATTTGTTCCCTCCTCTAAGGATCCTGAACTCCACCGTCCCATGGTCATTGGAGGCAAAGCTGCCCCCAACCTTCACGTCCCTGACCAGTTCTCCCTTGTTTGTATATATCAGGTCCAGCAAAGAGCCTCCCTTTGTCAGCTCCTCTACCAGCTGTGTCAGGAAGTTACCAATGCTCTCCAGAAACTCCCTTGACTGCTTGTGCCCTGCTGTGTTGCCCTTCCAGCAGATTTCAGGGTGGTTCAAGTCTCCCTATGAGACCAAGGCCTGCAAGTATAAGGCTTCTTCCAACTGCCTGAAGAATGTCACACACTTCTGCTTGGTCAGGTGGTCTGTAACAGATGTCCACCACAACATTGCCCACCTTGGTCTCTGTTTTTAATCTTAACTCATTAGGTCTCAGCTGGCTAATCATCGGCCCTCAGGCAAAACTTCATGCATTCCTCCTGCACTCTCCCCTCCTCGCCGTCCCAGCCTGTGCTTCCTAAAAAGCCTGTATCCATCCATTGCAGCACTCCAGCGATGTAAACTATCCCACTACATCTCTGCAGTCCCAATGACATCATAGCCCTGGAACCGCACACAGGCCTTGAATTCCTTCCACATTAAGCCAAGAATTGTTTTAAAGTCTGTTATAATTAGCATCTTTAAAATAACCCAGTACTACTGTTGCCCAAAAGAATAATCACATACACAAAAGAACTCCTTCAACAACAAAAGAGGAGGAAAAGAAGAAACAATCCTGTGAGTTTTATTGGTTTTGAGGTACAGTCCCATTACAATTGGCTAAATAAGACATTTTGGTTTTTTTACTAAAATGCAACATATAAAAAACCATATTAAAAAGCTGATTGGTCAGTTAGCTGTAAATACAAAACCTGTTCACAAAAATTAAAAAAAAAAAAAGCAGCCTGTTTTGGACATACAACTACATGTAACTTCAAATTTATGGCCCAGTTCACTCAGGACCATAAGAATAGTTTTGTTTTCTGTACTAGAACTGCTTTCTGCACAAGGATCCAATACAAGGGTTGTTCTTGGGCTTATAAATTACCATAGGCGAAGATGCATGTGACTGACAAGATACAGGTCTCTTACTCTTCTTCATGGTAAGAACATTGTCTTCCTTTGGAGGAGGCACATGTACAGGTTTCCAAGGAATGGGGTTACAATATGCTGGAACTGGATACGAATTTCCATTAGCACACCCTAGAACATTAAGAAAATACACATAACTAAAAAGGAATATTTACACTTCAAGCTTTACAATGCAAGCGGTTATAATAATCATCTGGTCTAACAAAGACACAACAGCATCTTCAGAGGAAGGCAGCATAGGCACATCACAAAATTTAAATGATTCAAAGAAATAAAACTTCCACTTTTTTTTTTTAACCAATAACTGGCATATTCTTCATCGCTATTTAAAATAATAAGCAGGGCGAATGCTGTGTGACATTCAGAATGTTTCGTATACTTAAAAGCTGTAAATGTCTATGAATTGGCTACTTTGCATTACTTCAAAAGCTTCCTGTCACCACATACGCAAAGCTCACATATTTCTCCATCTTTGCTTAACTGTTATTCTTTATTTTATTGAGGAAGAAAATACACTAATTATCCACATATACATTAACAATCTGCAATTAATAACCTAGGGCCCATAAAGCAATATCAGAAAACTTAAAATGCAACAGAAGGAACACATTGCCTTATCAGTCATCTGTCTGTAGTGAAATTTCAGTGCATACATCATGTGGTTGGGTAAAACAAAGCCTGTAATATATTCTAGTACATGAACACAACTGAGTAGAGAAATATTTTTCAAAAATCACTTAAACAAGTGATTGAAGCTGTGGGGAAGTAATGGAGGTCCAAAGCAAAACATGAAGGCAAAGCGTATCACCATCTATAAACAGATGTAAGCAAAAGAGCAAAGGTCATTCACCTGCTTTACACATTTTCTTAAACATTCAGAGCCTGGAATTTAGGTCCTAAAATATTTTCTGTGGTGAATTCAATTAACAACCATGATTTTAATTCTGTGAAAAAAATAAAGGCGCCAAGAAGGTGTGATGCAGGTGTAAAGCTAAATGGAAAGGAAATCTTAGCTCGGAACACAGGTTGATTCCCACATCTCCTTTTTCAGACAGGACTTCTGCCAGCCTCTTACTAATCTTTGCGTCTCAGAAACACACCTCTTTTCTAAGGGGGATTCAGGTGCGATAAGGTGGCACACACCTTCTGTAACAGAAACACTAACTTTACAAGGATGCTAACATAACTGATCTGCTTCACAGGAACCAGTAATTGGCTCTAGTGATTCCTATGCCTGATAAGGAAAGTGAAATCAAAATCAGTTATAATTTAGTATGCCACATTATTCTCTCAAATAATACCATTTTCCTCCCAAAAAACATGAAGGGCTACAAAAAATGCACAAAGGGTCTCAGAGTAAAAGCTTCTTTGACTTATACCATATGAGATATTCATTCCCATGTGCCAAAATTAGATACTGGATGAAAATCTAAAACGGGGTTCATTTTACATTAAAAGATTAGAGGGAAAGAACCACAACCTAAATCACTACATACGTGTAGTAGAAGTACAAACCTGTAGACTTCCCACGTGGGAAGCCATAACCATTTAAAACAGGGCGTGGTTTATTTCTAGCATTATGTAGCCATTCCTTAAAGATCTTCTCTGATTTTGCTTTCTTCTCCTGTAGCTCAGCTTCCCTTTCTTTTTCTTTTTCCTAAAAATAAAAAAATCTAAGATACTTATAGACAAAGCCCTGTGCAATATACACAAAATGGTAAATAAATCTTTTGCAGATTCCCAGACTGCTGAATATATTTCAGATATGTTTTCAAATAGAAATACATTTTCCTGACAATAGAAGAGTTGAATTTTTTTTCTTTAAGTCTGAAAAAAAGAATAATCAACCTCTGCATTAATCCAGTGTTTCTCTGAGAAAAAGCTCTCAGAAACCTTTTGGAAGACTACATGTAGAAGATATTCTGGACATAACTGGCAGATGACCAGGGCCTACCGTGCTGCAGTCAGCCTAAAGAGGCTGTTGCATCAGGGACAGCCATCCACTCTTCTCATTTACCCATATTCGTACAGCCCTATATCAGCCATGACTGGCTTGCCTCCAAGCCCGGAGCAGGCTTGGGGAACCATTAATGAGAAGTAAGAGTAATAACAGTGTGTTTAGGCATGGCATTTGGATTTAAACTAAGTTTAATTGACACTGTGAACATGGCTTATAAGAACCCATGTAATGAAGACATGACTAAAAGAATGCATGTGGCTTAAATCTGTCTGATGACTTTCATTTTCTTGGGTTTCAAGGTCCTTGTGCTGTGCATTTTAGAGGCTCAGCAGAAACACAGAGTCAGTTTGTTAAGCAGGAAAAACACCACCAGTACAGAATATTTAATCGTGGTTTAATTATATGGGAAATTTTGAAAGACTGTAAAATTAAGGTCATTAAGGCCAGAAAATTGATCTGATACAGTTTACAGTATTTTGAAGTTAATCCAAAGAAATTATTATATGTACTTGTGAAATACTTACAAATGTGTTCTGCACTTTAAGAACAACTGCTGTAATTACAGCGGGAATATAGATAAATTCTTCTCGCCACAATCCTCCCCCACACTTAGCTACAACAGTAGTGTAGTACTTCTATAATATTACATATTCTACTGAAAAATTATACTGTAATGTTAATTAAATTAAAATACAACCAAGGAACTTCACAGATAAGACATCTGGTCACACATTTCATAGTTTTCAGGCATAATCATTACCAATATGTGATATTTCCAAGGAATTCTGGATGATTCCTGCAAGTGTAGCCTTGTAGAGCATTTGTTCTAGTGAACTAGAGGACCTCAAAGCCCATACTTTAGGAAGCTTACAACAGGTAAGAGGTTTTCTAAAGCTCACTATAAAAATACATAGGTGATTAATTAAGAAATATCATCAAAATTAGAACTCCCAGCATCAGATTGGTTCAGACAAATATGAAGAAAAATGCTTTTAATTAGAAATATGTGCAAGTATAATGGTAATATCACGATAATAGTGGTGCTGGGAGAAAAATGCCCAGAAAGCTGCCTATTTTCTATCTGAGTCACCCTGCAAAGGACTGAGTAATTAAGGTACACTGT